TAGCAATCAAGGCTCAACTACAATAGAAGGGCACACACTGCCCACACAAGGGGCACACCTGGAGCACTTGACTCAGGTGACCAGGGAGACTGAACCACTGGGCATCACAGAACATCTATTACAAAAAGCTACTCTGAGATCAAGAGACATAGCAGCTCTACAGCTCTACCTAACATGTAAAACAAACACAGGGAGGCAGCCAAAATGAGGAGACAAAGAAACATGCCCAAATGAAAGATCAGAACAAAGCTTAAGAAAAAGAATTAAACAAAATGGAGACAAGCAACCTACCAGATGCAGAATTCAAAATGCTGGTTGTAATGATGCTCAGTGATCTCAGTGAGAACTTCAACAAAGAAATAAGAAGCAAAAAAATGGTAATAGGAAACAGAAAAACGAACCAGTCAGAAGTGAAGACTACATTAGAGGGAATCAATAGATTAAATGTAGAGGATCGAATCAGCAATTTAGAAGATAAGGTAGCAAAACCCACCCAATCAGAACAGCAACAAGAAAAAAAAAATGAGGATAATTTAAGGGGCCTCTGGGACAACACCAAGTGTAACAACATTCACATCATAGCGGTACCAGAAAGAGAGTAAGAACTTGAAAACCTATTTAAAGAAATAATGACAAAAAACTTTCCTAACCTGGCAAAGGAAATAGATATAACAAGCCCAGGAAGCACAGAGAGTTCCAAAGAGGCCCACAACAAGACATCATAATTAAAATGGCAAAGGTTAAAGACAAAGAGAGATTTTAAAAGCAGCAATAGAAAAGCAGTTATCTACAAGGGAGCTCCCATAAGACTGTCAGCCAATTTCATAACAGAAACTTCACAGGCCAGAAGGATTGACACAAAATATTCAAAGTGATGAAAAGCAAGGAATTACAACAAGTGACGCTATATTTAGAATTTAAAGACAGATAAAAAGCTTCCCAGAAAAGAAAAAGCTAAAGTTGTTCATCGCCACCAAACCAGTATTACAAGAAATGTTAAATGGGCTGTTTTAAGAAAAAAAAATTCAAAAATACAAATAATAAAATGACAATAACTACATATCTATCAACATTACTCTAAATGTGAACAGATTAAATGCTCCAATCAAAAGACACAGGGTGGCTGAATGGATAAGAAAACAAGACTCTAACATACATATGCTGCCTACAAGAGACTCACTTTAGATTGAAAGACATACACAGACTGAAAGTAAAGGGATAGAAAAAGATATTTCATCGAAATGGAAACAAACGAAAAGCTGGGATAGCAATATTTGTACTAGAAAAAACAGACTTTAAAATAAAGGCTATATATAACAAGAGACAAGGAAGGACCCAGCAATTCCACTTCTGGGTATTTATCTAAAGAAAACTCAAAACACTTATTCAAAAAGACATATGCATACATATGTTCATTGCAGCACTATTTATACTGCAGTCAAAATATGGAGGCAATCTAAGAGTCCATCAATAGATGAATGAATAAAGAAGTTGTACATATATACAGTGTAACAGCACTCAGCCATAAAAAAGAATGAAATATTTCCTTCTGCAACAACATGGATAAACCTAGAGGGATTATGCTCAGTGAGATAAGTCAGAGAAATACAAATACCATACGATTTCACTTAGATGTGGAATCTAAAAAACAAACCAACAAAGAAAAGAGAAACAAATTCATAGATAGAAAACATTTTGATGGTTGCCAGATGAGACGGGGGTTAGGGGAATGGGTGAAGGAGTGAAGAAACTGAGAGGTACAAATTGGTAGTTACAAAATCGTCATGGAGATGTAAACCATAGCATAAGCAAGAGAGACCATAACATTGTAATAATTATGTATGGTGTCAGGTACTAGATTTATCAGGTGAGCACCTCATAAGTTATATAAATGTCTAATTCTATGTTATATACCTGAAACTAATATTGTATGTCAACTGTAATTGAAAAATAAAAAAATTTAAAAAAATTCTTAACAATTACTAAGTTCTTTTTTATAGGCAAGAAATAAAGAACACTAATCTGGTAAACATCAGCAAGTTGTAGTTATAATTATCATCACATTTTAGAAAAATATTTTGACTTTTTTTCTACAGGTTGAAATAATAAAACAAAAATCATCTAAATTTTTACTAAAGATGATTTTTAAGTTTCTAATGTTACCTACGTTAGTAACCTGGAAAACTACTTACAACCCTGCTCTGCTCTATCTGTAGGTTTTGTGTGTAGGTTCATACTGGCAATGTCTGACCACTCCTACTGGGGATAATATATCGGAAGGATATTTTTACGACAGAAAATTTAAACAGTACTATTGTTTTCAGAAGGACAGTGCAATCATTTTCCCTCCTTTGCTCAATTTCATAGAACATAATCCAAATTTAGAATATTCTTATTTATCTTAATTTCTGGATAGTCCTATGCATAAAACCAGCTATTTAACACTGAGCAAAGAACCTTACCTTTTGTTACATATGATCAACAAATCTGTCCTTTTTCTGCTTTACAAGCAAAAATTATATATTTCCACAAGATAAAATGAGTGTTTGATTAGTTAACTTGAGCTGGATATTAGGGTATAATGCTATATAATAAGGCTAAATTGACCGTCTGGTCACTGATCCCACCAGTTAACTTCATCTATGGCAGGGTCACAGGCAGCATCAAAACCTTTGCTGGTCAGTTCTTTGGACTGCAAGGAAAGCCAGCCAAATGTGCAGCTAAGTCAGCACAAATCACTATCACCATGTTCTGTTTATCAACTTTACTATAAACAAATCATGTAAGAGCTGGAATCTGGGAGAGAAAACCAATAATATACTCACCGGATCATAAAACATGATAATCTAAAAGGTAGAAATGTAAAATCTATTTTAGATGCTAAATCGAATAAATATTTTAAAATCCAAATCCATTTCTATTAATCAATATTTATATTCTGAATTTTAAAATGCCACCACAATAAATTTTGAGTCCCAATGCTAAGACAAATGGTGGCAGTAACATTCTTTTCAACTAGAGGAAATGTACAAAATACATAAAAAGACAACGATTGCCAATCCCTTTAACCTGTCAGCTTTATTAATCCAAATACTTTTTTTACCTTTACGTTACAATTGTAATCTAAGAGGAACTATACCTTGAAATACAACAAAAATTACCTTCCAAAGAGAGACAAATCTGTTTCTTTACTTACTGGTAATAAATGTAAGACAATCACTTTTACACCCTCAATTTCTCTTCTGACCTTTAATTCTTTCCAGTAATACGCTGCACAAGGCAATGGAATCACTTTAGTCCTTTAGATTTGCCTCTTCTAGAGAATGTGAATTCCCTGAGACAGCATAGCTTCTTTCAGTCCTTCTCACCTGCAGTCCATTACACAGTATAAACTAACACACTACATGGTTTTCATTTGCTCTCTCCTATATGCAGCTGCTCCTATTAACTGCACTGTGGAATTCTGTAGACACTAGGTGTATCTCATCAACCTTTAACACACTCTGCCAGGCCATAGAAGACTTTTGAATACATTTCGTGGAAAATTGAGCAACTGAACCTTTAAATCTCTCCTACCCCACTCAGCATCAGTAAAGCACCCTACAAATATGGACAACTGTATTTTTCTGTGAATCTTTGACCCAAGATATATTCTTTCTTTTCCTTCTAGCCATACTTTCAACTGCCTCTAAAAGCCTTGGATTCTGTCTGGTTCATTCTCCAACACAAATATTTCCTACACGATAATACAGAGGTCAATATATGTCTAATCAAGTAAAATCTCACAATACCTAATCCTTGATTAACCATGCAATCCTTACAAAACTTATGAATCTATAAATTTTAACACTTTTAAAAATTTTATACTGACTTGAGAATGCTTCCCAATATAGCTAATGTTAATAAGAAGGATGCCAGGAGAAAGAGAGATGAGAGCAGGTTAAAAAAGACCACGGTCAAGAACAATTTAACATACTTTTTCCATTTCCACCTTTGTCTCAAGAGAATTTAATTGGGAAGAAAAAAAAATATAATTCAGAATCAGCCATAAAGAAAACAAAAGATGCTGAATTTGCAAACTGTGAGCTTTAACCTAGTCTTTCAAGTAATTTTTAAATAATTTTTAAAAATCTAGACTCTTGCTTCATCCGAATGCAGCTAAATCTCGTCTCACCCAGTATCCTCCTCCTCCATACATACACATAGCGCTACCACTATGAGTCCCTGTGCCAAACCAACCATCACGGGAAAAATTAAACCATGAGGATCATTTCCTAATTGACTCTGAAAAATAGTCACAATTCTTTTTCCCACAGGAAAATAAATTACCCATTCTAATGGGATGGGGGCGGGATAAGCTTATCATACAGTTTCTCAGTCTCGAAGGGAGGAAAATAGCAATAACTTCCAACAAGAGACAACTGCTCTTTTACTGTATCCCTCGCTAGAACCTAAAAGACAAGCAAAAAAAAAAAAAAACACACACACACAACCCACAAACAACAACAAAAAACAGTCTCGAGGCATTCATATGAATAGAAAACCGAGACACTTCACTTTGCGATAACATAGCCCCTGAAAAATCCTCCAGAGCTTTGGGGGAGGGGGTGCCCCATCAATCGCCCTAACACACCTGCCATATAGGAGAGCAGGATTCTGTCAAAAAGAAAATGCCACTCTCCGCCTCCGCCGCCATCCCGAAAATTGACTGGCAGCAAATGCGGGGGCGACCTAGGGCAGGAGAAGCGAAGAGGCGGGGACACCACACATACACCGCACTATGGACTGATTCATGGCTTTTAAAAATGTTTGAAGGCTACAATTTCCTCCAACCGGAGGAATCTCACCCATTCACCCACCCTGCTCCTCCCCCCACCCACCGCGGGCTCGGCTGGGCCGTGTCCCCGCCGCGGCTTCGGCCCCGCTCCCCCCCCCCCCGTTTTCACGCGCCGCTCGCCAGCCCCAGGCCCCGCGCGCCCAGGCCAGGAGATGCGTCGCACCTGGATGTAGTTGTTCTCGCAGTAATCGGCCACTCGCTCCAGATTCGTGTAACTGTCGAAGAGGGCCCGGCGGCCCCCCGGGATTTCCTCCTCCAGCAGCATCTGCAGCTCCGCCATCTTCACATCCTCCTCCTCCTCATGCAGACCGCAGAGGTAGCGGCAGCGGCAGCGCCAGGGAAACCCAACGCTGGGAGAGGAGGAGCAGCGACGCCAGCGGCAACTCGGGAGGAGCGAGAAACACCCCTCCGCGCACTACAGGGGAGGGGGCAGCAGGAACGGGGGCGGGGCGCGAGCCGACGGACTCCGAGGACGGTCACCGCGGCGACAGCCGGCCGGGGGCGCGCACGCGCGCTCGCCTCTCTCCGCCCCCGGGCGCCTGAAAAAGATTCCCACCCTCGGCCGCCCAGCCCGCCCCTCCCCCACTTCCGGCGTCTCCTAGCGACGACTGGAGTGGGGATGCGCGCGGGAGTCGGACGCGCGGTTAACCCTTCGGCCCCCACAGGTTGCGTGGCTCGGGAAGTCCCCCGCCGGCCTTTGTTCTTCTGACGTGAACGCGCCGCCGGGCCCCGCTGTCCTCTCGCGTGCGCCCTCCGCGACTACCTCGGCTTTATTCTCAACCTGTGGCCGAGCGCTGTGGTCACTGGCCCGAGGGATAATGTCAGCCCACAAAACTTCTGTGCAGCTTTAAGTGCCGCCTTACTTTTCATTTTTCTCCTCATCATTTTTCTCATCTTTTGAACTCACCCATCTTCTTTGGGACAGATAAGTAAATTCCAATTTTCTAATCCTAGATTTCTCGCACTTCGGCTCCCCCACCCCCAACCCCCCAACTTATTTGCCCGCTAAAGCTGTTTTCCCTTGCCAGGTTAGCCTCTGTGCTAACCTGGACCTCAGCTTTTTCTATCTCTCTTCCTTTGACTCCCTTTCTCACAGACAACTTTTTCTTTCATTTCCCTAGTTCTGTCAACTTCGCTGTCGTTTCTTCGTGGATTCAGTAGTTTCGAAAACGGTATTATTGGTACTAATTTCCTTTCTCACAAGACTGTCATATGGATAAAATTAAAGTTTATGTAAAAGCATCTGGAAAAACGTTATATGCCACAAAAATTCAAGGTAGATCATTTTGATTTTGCAGTTTATTCCCAGATGCTGTATCTTTTTTTCCTGAATCTATTCTTCCACACAATGTAATCTTAAAAAACTGAAATTCCTGACAACTGCTGAGATGAAGTCGATGACCTTTACTTATACTATGGAAAGTCAAAGCTGACTACATCCGTAGTGTAGAACAGGATCCATGATCCATGATTTCAACTCTAGTTCTTGCTTTTGTGATCTTGTTCCTCTTACAGTGATCCCTTTTGTTCCCAGATGATAAGGAAACTACATTATTCTTTCTCAAAATATTTTAATGCCATGCCATTACAGATTTCTGGAGCAATCTCTGATATTATATTGGTTTATGAAAAACATTAGCAAATTGTTGAGTTTTCACCGTGGAACCAAATTAAAAGACGTTGATCCAGTCTAACTAGTTTTATTCTTAACCACTTTAAACCTCTTCTGTGTTAGTGGTTCTCAAACTTAAGTGTGAGGGGCTTATTAAAAATGAAAGCTGTAGGGTCACTCTCCAGAGATTCATTAGAGAGCAGTAGTGATGGAATGGGGTACTTAAATGGCACACAAATTTGCTTCGGGGAATAAGACACTTATGAATAATCAAGTGAATAAAACATAGATAAAGCCTAACATTCTTTCAAATACTGCTTAACAATTACCTCAAAAAACAAATCTTGTGGGATAATTTCACTGCGTGAAGATTCTAGTACTTTCTCAAATCAATTTTGAAAACCTCTTTGGATTTTGGCTTTCACATCTGAGAAATCAAAAGGTTAAACTCAGGTCAGTTCTCAAAATTCACTGTGGAATGGAATTACCAGGAGGGTTTTGGAAACGAGGAGTGGACTGCTAGGTTCCGCCCCCCGAATTTCTGATTCAGATGCATAGCCCTATTTCTAATGAGTGTCCAGGTGATGCAGATGAAACTGCCTTGGCTCAGATGGTATGTGACTCCAATTTCTGGCAGCTGGGAATCTCCACTAAGAGGGGAGCTTTAACACTCAGCAGAATCTAAGGACCCAAGGACATGGATAGACACTTCTGCTGCCACCAAGACAATATAAGCAAAAGGGAAGACAAACCACAAGATCTATAAAAATACATATATTATGTGTATATATTATCTGAGTGGTGAATTGTGGAGTGTTTTGTTTTTGCTCAATTTTCTAAAATGAACATGTATTATTTTTCAAGTATGGTCTCCCCAAATCGGAGAGAATACTTTTATTAATGCAGCCCAAGATAACATTTTTAAGCAGTTTTATCATCAGCTTGATTCAAAGTAAGCATTAAAACTTCCTATACTTTTTTACATATTAACCCAGTCATGCCAAATACAGTTGATTTTTATTTTTTTTATTTTTTATTTTATTTTATTTCTTTTCAGGCGAGGCAACCTTTGGTTGACCTCACGGATTGCAAGAAACTTGTCATTTTATAATCCCTTTTTTTTTTTTTTTAAACGCCTACAGCTCCTGGTCTTCCTAGGTGGTCTCCCATCCAAGTACTAACCAGGCCTGCCCCTGCTTAGCTTAGGAGATCAGACAGGATCGGGCTTGTTCAGGGTGGCATGGCTGTAGACTTTTTTTTTAATTTATTTTTTTTTAGGTGAGGCAGCCCTTGGCTAACCTCAGATTGCAAGGACCTTGTCAGTTTATAATCCTTTTTTTTTTTTTTTTAATTTTAACTTTTTTACGCGGACAGCACCTGGTCTTCCTAGGTGGTCTCCCATCCAAATACTACTCAGGCCCGACCCAGTTGATTTTTTTAAAAAATCTAATTGCAGTTCTTTATATTTATTTCAAGTAAATTATATCTTAGCTTTGTCCCAAATTTGAATAAGAATGTTGAACAAGTCAAGGCCACTATCAATCAATATCTTAAATTTGGCCAGTTCTGAATGTACCTTAGGCACAGTTATCCAACATTTCATCATCATAGCCACAAGACTAGTGAGAAAGTGTCATTCTTCTGCTGAAATAAAAATGCACTATGTGGAATTCCCCTGATGTATATATATCATGCTAGTAACTCTATTCTTAAATGAGGAAAGTAATATAAAGTTCATAATATAAAGCCTGATAGTGTGGGTCCTAAAGAAATGTTGCATAACTGAATTGTTTATGTTGTTTGTTTTTCAACATCTAGAAGACATACCCACTCACTCCAGACTTTCCTCTCAGATTCTACCTGCACACCACTGATGTGCTAATTATTCATAAACATTGTTTTCATCAACTCTTTGCCCTCAAATTTTCAGTCTCTCTTTTAAATGACATCAACCTATCAACTTTAGTATCCTTAGTAAGAGTGTCAAGTAGTAGTTAATGCTACTGTATTTTCTCATATTTTTAAAATTTGTTAATGAATAGCATATGGTACCTAAATACCAGCTGTTTCATATCCATACAATGGTAGTTTCTATAATATCCCTTTTCTTGGTTATACATTAAATGTTTGGAAACTTATTAAATAAGAAACTCTTAATGTCTTTCTTCTTCATGAAGATACTTTGGACAGTTTTCCTTTTTTACCTTGAGAATTTCAAAACCAGTTTTCTGGCTGCTATATGATTTTATCAGGCAATACTAAATTGGACATATATGTGTATATAATTTTATATATACATATATATTGGATGAATGAAAATGTAGGAGTATATCTTTCAATTAAATTTAAAATAATTCCTTTTTGTGCAATTAAGTTCCCTATTAGAGATATCACACAATACTCAGGAGAAATGCAAGCAGAGTTTTTTATTCAAATAATGACATGGTTAACTGAGTTTCCATTCTCACCTAAAACAAGAAAAATAATTATCAGTGTTTAATATTTTCATAGTATTTATACACGTTTGAGTTTTAATCAGGTTTAAGATAATCGGTAAATTTTAAAATCAAGTATATATATTTTGAACATACTAAATCTTTGAAACCAGTGTTCTGTATATGATCCAAATGGATAGAATCTAAGTTCTATGTTTTTAGGCAAGTTTTATCATCTGAAACTTTGGTTTCAGTTTTAGTGATATAAACTTTGGTCTAAGTTTTAGGAATATTTATTTAATGGATAAAAATGTGCTACACTATTTGTTTAAAAAAGCATTACTGTACAATAGAGCATTCCATGGGTTATAGCTGTATGAATACACATTTTTAAGAAATAAGTTAATTTTTAGTCCCTTTATTATGGAAATTACAAACACACAATATGGAGAATGGTATAATGAATACACAAATACTCATTAGCTATAACAATAGCTATTTTACCTTCTCTTTATTGTTAAAGAATTTTAAAATTATAGTAATCATGACATTTAAACTCTACTTTAGAATATATCTCTAAAAAATAAGGACATTTTGCTATATAACCACGATATTGTGAGCATACCCAACAAAATCAATAATCTCATACTATCCAATACCCAATAAAAAGCATTTTTTTCAACAAGAAATTACTCTTATAAAGAGAAGAAATACCATATACTCAAGATACAACCTGGCAGGATTATATTTAAGTACTTATTATTCTGTAATGATTTCTTGTGAGTCACACCAAAATAACTCCCTTCCCTGTGGGGAAAAAAATTTTTTTAAATAAAACCATGAGTGAACACTGTAAATATGAAATTATTCATAATTTATTTCTTACTGTGCTTTAATACCGTTAGTACCTGTATGCTGAATATTAACTTACCTACAGCATGTATGATTTCCAAAGCTGCCCACTTTTTTATAACAATATGTTTCTTGTCAGTTTCTGTAATATTGCAAAAGGTTATACTTTGACAAGATTGCTAACTAAACACCATAGTGTATGGTATAACTTTCACTTGTGTAGTAAGTACAAGATTGATGAAAATAAGGATATTCTTGAGCACTGATTGGTGTATTGATGAAATGCAATGTAGAAAAGGTTAATAGGAAGAAGTAATTTTATGTAGCCTCTTGGAAAGGAGGACAGAATCATTTTGATATTTCAAAATGGCAGGGAACACTGAATTTAACTACACTTAAAATACATTAGTAGGATTTCTTCATTCCTCCTCCACAGGAATTAACAATATATTTCTCACAGATTTCTGTTAGCAACTTCTATTACCTAAATATCTACCCAGATGAATAAGTGAATAACTCATATCACTGAAATATTTCATAGGATTTTATGATGTTTCAGGGAAAAATACCATTCTACCTTCCTGCGGAAAAATCTTTGGCCAATTTTATTAAAATACAGGAAAATA